GAAAATAATATAATTCAGTATATTTATTGATGTGTTTGATGACGTCATAGTGTTTTAGTGATGTTAATATAAATCGAATAGATTAAAAAATTTTTAAAAAATATTTAAGAAATAATTTATTAAATTTTAACTAGTAATCAACTAATCTAGAAAGATCTATATCATGAACCAAAATGTTATACTGATAACAGGGCCGTATCTAGCATACAAAGACTGAAGGGGGGGGGGGGGGAGGAGGATGCAATTGTCAAATTAACCGACAAAAATTTTTCTTGTTTTGAAAAAAGGATTTTTTTTGGAAAAATTTTCAAAATCATAATTGTATTCTTAATTTACTACCTGTAACACGTTAAAAGAAATAAAATATATTTTTTCAGAAAGATTATATAAATTTTACAATGCAAATGAAATTTACAGTATTTCAAAAGCATATACAAACAACAACAAATTTAACGTATAAAACGCAAAACTGCATAATCAATTACTCAATTTGAATACGTTTTTGTGTTGTTATAGACCATTTTTTTACCAACACGTCAAGATCTATATTGTCCACTAAATCTTTTTCTGACGCCAACAAAATTAATGACTCCAATCTTGCATCTGACATAGTAGAACGCAAAATATTTTTAACAATTTTTAATTTGCTAAATGTTCTTTCATCGCTTGCAACGGACACTGGTGCTGAAGCCATTAGCTTGAAAGCTTTGAAAACTCCTGGAAATATGTTTTGTCTTTGCCACGACAGTTTAATTTTTTCATTGTTTGTTGGAGCATCAGATTTAGTAAATGTGTTCATAAAAATTTCTAACTCTGCATGAAATAAATGAGTATCTGTATTTACTCCATTATTTGGCATTAATAGGCACAGTTTTTCAACATCTTTTATTGTAAAGGTTTTTGTTGACTGCTGAAGAAGATAAAATGGTTCAATGCTCAACCATGAAGCCAGTAAATTTTCATTCATTTCGTAAATAAGACAGTCTAACACGCAATTAAGTTGTTAGGTGTAGTATTGATAGATATTTCTAGAACATAGCTCAGGATTGTCATCATCAGCGTTTTGGAGTTACTCTTCCTCTATGACGATCTTCGATTTTTAACGCATCGATTTTATACTTGCTACATATATTTAATTGCTGCATCAATTTCACGATGTACTTCAAATTCTTCTTTTCTATTTCGTTCAAGAGATTGTATTGTAGACAATACAATCATTTTAGCATCTAAAATGTTCAACTCAACTTTCTGCAACTCATCAGTAAGAATCTTTGTTTTTGCAATGACTCCTTTGATAAGCATAAGCATAATGATAAAGTCTGGATTCACGATTTTTTTAAGTATTGCTAAAGCTTGATCCTTTGTTTTCTTATCAAATAAATCGGACTGCCTTATTTCATAAAAACATTCAACAATAGATTCCATACTTATCCAAAATGCTTGAATGGATTCTGAACGCGCTGACCATCTAGTTTTTGAAAGATTGCGAAGTTTTAAGGAATTTTCAATAAACTCAAGTTTAGAATTAAGTAAGCTGAATCGTTTAGTACTTTAAGAAATAAATACGTAGCACATTTCAAGAACTTCAAAGACATTTGAAGCCATTTTATTTCTTTTAACCGCATGTTCAACAAAAGTATTAGTTCGATGAGCTTGACATGGAATATAAGGTACAACTGGTTTTAACTTTTCTGAAATTTTTGCATGAACTCCTTTAATGTTGCTGGACATAGAGCATGCGTAATCGTATCCTTGAAACACAACACTATTGACATCAAGTTGAAGGTTATTGATTGTCGATATTATTAAATCTGCAATTCCATCACCCGTTTTGTCAGCTACCTCGCATATCTGCACAATTCTTTCTTTAATATTACAGTTATTATCCACATACCTTACAGCAATTGCTAACTTATCACTGTGTGACACATCAAGAGTTGTATCTGCCATAATTGAAAACATCGATGCTTGGTTAACTTCGGAAACAATTTTGCTTTGAACATCTTGTCCAAGCAAATGAATGAAGTCGTTTTGGGATTTAGCACTTATATATGTCACATGATATTTTCTAAGTTTTATGTTGCTCAACCATCGTTTAAGTACCAAATTATGTCTCGACATAAAATATACCAACTGTCTAAAATTTCCATTTTCATCCCGATCATCTCCACGAAACGTGATTCCTTGCCTACCCAATGTTCGAGCCAAATCAATAAGAACTTTTATAACACACTTATTAGACTCCATTTCTTCTTTTTCACTAATAACAATTTGTCTTTGTTTCTTGTCCAAGAGGAGATTAATATGTTGAGCACTATTACAATAATTGCAATAGTCTAATAATAAAGCTTTATGAGATTTTGATGAAAAATGTTCTGATTTTTTTCTCTTTTACCTTTCTTTCCTCGACTCTTCATTTTATGCCACGTGCGGATACCGTTTTCAACCCAAGCAACTTCACTATTCTCTCTACCTGGTCCATTTGGAAAGAGACAGCATACATAGCAGAATGCGCTATCTTTAAGTATGCTGTGCTCTAAGTGAGGGTAATTTTTGTACCACAATGATGAAAAACGATTTTGCTTCCTTTTGTCAATATCTTTATTGATAGGAAAGTTATTAAGTTTTACTTGATGTGGTCCGAGCTCAATTAGATAGTTTCTTAGATTATCATTTTCAATTTTCGAACGCTGGCCAGGATCATGCGAAAGAAAAAAATTTTTTGTAGTAAGTGTTTTAATATTATCATATTTTCTTTTGTTTAAAATGTTTGCAAGAGCTTGGTCATTGGCATCCAAAACATTCTCTGCTAAAATTTTTACCTCAGAAGCAAGCTCTGTCATTTCAATGCGAAGTTTTTCCAAATGTAAATTGTCTGTATTTTTCACTTCATCTAGTTTTAATTCGCATTCACTTAAAAGTTTACACAGCTTTGCAAATTTACCCACCGAATCTGAAAACGTAGTTTCTTTTTCCAATAAATTAACATCACTCGGTTGGGATTCTACTAACAGGGTTTGATCACAGAAATCCAAAATTTCAGGCACTGCTAGTATTTCATCATTAGTAATATCAATGTTTTTACTTTCATTTATTATCTCACATTCAATTTCAGATGATTCATTTTCAATTGCTTCAGAGATTTTTGTCAGATTTTCATTGATATTCATTTCCACTTCATTTGTAATGTTGCTTGGGCAAAGTTCTTGGGCATTGAAATTAATTTTAGACAAACTTATTTTGCTGCACGATTGGGAATTTATTACCGAATTGGTTTCAAAAGGGTTTCATGGTGCGCCATACTTCTCATAAGGTATCCCTTTATGGTTTCGGATATAATCCAAATGATAAATTCGATTATGTGTCATCCGATAGTCATTATCAAAAATTGAATGTGAACAGTTCTTGACTTTGCATTTGACTTTGTATCTTTTAACACCAGGATGTGGCATCTTGAACCCAAAATCTAAGATAATTACAAATTAAACTAATAAAATATTCGCCTTAAAAATATATAAATAATTTAGTAAATGTGGGGGGGGGGGGGTGCCATTACAACTTTTGCAGACAAAAAAAAAAAAAAAAAAAGGTCCTCGTTTTCCAAAATTTGCCAACTGTCATGACGACATTTGCCGACTGTCTAACCTATATCGAAAGGGTCCACATTTGCCGACTAACTAGGTCCAATTTGCCGACTAAGGGTCCAATTTGCCGACTAAGGGTCCAGTTTGCCGACTAAAAATCATTGATGGGGGGGGGGGGGAGAGTTGCACCCCCCGCACCCCCTATTGCGCCGGCCTTGTTAGTAAATACGTAACTTACAAGTATAAACAAAATAGTTTATTACTTCTTTCGCCAAACTTCCAATACTAGTACCAAATTTCTAATTATAAAAACACAGAGCTAACTAAATATTGATTTCTTCTGTGCAAACATCAAGTAAACAAGTCTCTTGATTAAGATTCTTGCTTTAAAGTAATTAGAAATTGTTGACTAATTACGTAACGCAATTTTTGAGAATAAAAAACGGCAACCAAAACATGCTTAGCTGAGTTTTATTTGTTATACGCGTTAAATTCCTAAAAAAAAATTAGTTTTTTATCCTTTGAAAATTAACGTTAAGGGTGATATAAAAACATTTTTGCAATACAGAAACAACAAGAAAATAATAATTTTAATATTTTGTCGGTTAAGTAGTATAATGGTAAAGTTGTCGGTAAGATTACAATTTATTGTAATTTTACCGACAATTTACCATTGTACTGTTTAACTGACATTAAAAATCTGGGGGGGGGGGGGTGTGTGGACACCCCCCTATCGGTACGGCCCTGACTGATAAGCTGTTCTGCGTTAAATTTATTATGTTACGGCTATTTTCATATCCACAAGTTATTTAAAACATCTATTAGAACGTTGAAGAAACTAAAGAACAAAGAATCAGATGATAGCAGATCTGTTTATGATTTAAATAAGTTTATATTTAACATTGTTTAAAAATTTCTTAATAAGTTTGTAAAATTAAAAAAAATAATCGGCGCCTACGTTTGAATAAAAATATCCGCACCCACATAATTTTCCGGATTAGTCAGAAATTGGTCCGGATGAACCGGAAAAAAATACAGTAACCTGTTTTTTTATAAACACCGGATATTCTTTTAAATAATGAAATATAAACAAAAATTCGATACCTTGTGAAAAAATCAGCTCAATATGTTGAATGCTTCCTTAAATAAGTCTATTTCCTCATTTTGTATGAGAGCGACGCATAGTACGAGGTAACAAAAAAGGAGACAGTAACAAAACCGTTAAGTGAATTATAGTCATGTTTTTGCAAAGAGCCTAAAAAGTAGATCTTTACATGGATTATCAATTAACTGTCAAGTTCTATAAAGTATTTTACTTATTACTTTATAACCCAGACTAGTTTTTTCATAATGATGAAACTTAATAATTAATATAGCCAAGCAGCACAACACGTTAGTCGATAAAAATTAAACAAATTCGAAACAATATTTTATTTAAATCTCAAATTAAATTTTAACATATTTTCTTTTTTTGCTATGTTCAGTGTATTGTTTTTCAAATTTCTTGCTAGAAGTCTTCCCCTCACTGGAGTTATCAACAGATGTATTACATATTAAATTATTGAATGACAAACTGCCCATAGGTGAAGCATTTACAACAGGATTACTATCCATGTTACTTCCTGTTAATAAATTACGATCTGGTGTTAATACAGTATTTGGTACTAAAATATAATAAAAAAAAAACTATTTACAATTATTTCAATATTTATTATCGACGCATTAAAAACACATAAAAATTTAATAGGTACTTTTAAGTTTAAGAGTACCAATAAAATCATATTCATATAAAATCATTTATATCATATAAAATCATTTATATATTAAATCTACATTATATTTGTACATATCAATCTATGATTTATGTTACACATTAATGAATGATTGATATGTCATGCGAGGCTATATTATCAGCCCGGAAATACATGTGTCGTTTAATGTACATTTAAATTTTTTTACAGTTTTTAGAAAATATGAGTAAACGTATAAGTTAAAAAGAAAAACTTAACTAACTTTAACTAACTTAACGCTGCCCTATGCTTAGATAAACCTGTCAATAAAACAAAAATAAAGTTTTTTTCTTCATTGTCTATAATAAAAGCCAAAACTTCATTTTGCAAAAAATACATACATTAACTATTTGCAATAAAAGTTGAGGGTTTGAGATCGGGCACATAGAATTTTAATATGAATAACTTCTATTGCAGCAACAAAAAAAAAAAACATTAATCTTTGTATTTCCTTTTTTTTTTTTACCTTTTCCGAAAAAACACTTTTTTATTGTTTTTTTAATTATTACTCCTTTATTGGTATAAAAGTCTCGAAAATTTTTAAATCTTGATAGTCAATAAATTAAAAAAAATATATATTTTTAATTTATTGCCCATGGTTACACATTTAGTTTACTTAGGGTATTATAATGCCATTCATTCATTTAAATATGATACATTAGAAAAGTTGAGGCAAATTCTTACAACTGGAAGTCCATCTTCGTGTTAACTTGTTTTGCACACCATGATGGAGTATTTTTATTAACATACTTCTTTGTGATAACCTGTTTTGCACATCATAGTTGAGTATTTGTATTAATATACTTCATTGTGATACTCGACCATGTGTTTTGCACATCATGGTTGAGTATCTGTATAAAGATTCTTCTACTATTAAGTTGAGTTTCCACTCATCCGTTTTTTCACGGGAACGGGATAGGAAAGGGAAAAATAATCACGTGAGCATGCGTAGTTTTCCTTCGGACATATTAAAACTTATACTACGCATGCTCACGTGATTTTTTTTCCCGTCCCTTTCCTGTTCCCGTAAAAAAAAGAATGAGTGGAAACTCGCCTTTAGGATTATCATCAAAGGTTTACATTTCACACATACAATTAAATTGGAAGTTTTATGTCAAAGTTTTCATTAAGTGAGTTGTTTTTGCCATAGCAACAAGAAGCTGTACCTGCCCCAATATAGAATTAGTTTCATGTCATGAGCAGGACAGCCTGTTTTTTGCTGTAATAAACTTTTTAATAAAAGTTATATAACCAAAAAGTCATAAATCTTAAATAATAAAAAGATAATGTAAAGTATAAAAGTAAAAATATAATTTATAATAAAATAATACATTATTTTAGGAATTATTCACCAAGTAACATTAATAAAATATATAAACACATTTAACATACACTCTGTATTTGCATCATCACAGTCATCATCTGTAGAAACTTCGTCTTCGCTTGACTCAGGATGTACATATCCTGAGAAAAATCAATGAAAACCTAAAATACAGCTTCATGACATATACCTATTTTATACTTTAATTTTATTCAAATTAAATAACGACCAGCCTTCTGAACTATGGTCAATGCCAACCTAAAAGTGTCTAAGTGTCGAAAATTTTTGCCTCATTTTATAAAGTTATGGTAAAACCTTTTTGTTTCTATGTTGTTATTGCGGTGAAAGTTTTGTATCAAAATGATGCTAACCAAAAATGGTTACTTTTCTTATTTTGGACTGAATGCATGGTGAGAAAAATCAAGTTAAGTTTCTAAACAATTAAATTTTTGTTAAGTTTTTAATTTCTAAACTATTTAATATTATTTTGGTTTCATTTTCTATTATGTTGTTTAAATTATAATTTACATGGTAAATTCTGATTTTATTATTTGTTATTATTTATCACGATTTTTATGATTATTATTTATATTCATACATATTATGATTTTATCATTTATTGTTTAAACATTTTATTTAAAATATTTATGTTGTGCTTTTAATCATATTAGTCACTGAAATACAATTTATGTATTATAAAAATTACAAATAGTTCGTTTTTATCCTAACCTTATTTAATAATTATAACCTTATTTAATAATTATAACCTTATTTCTGTTAAAAAAAACTTGATAAGAAACTTAATAAATCAAACAATATATATATATATATATATATATATATATATATATATATATATATATATATATATATATATATATATATATTTTAAATGATTTGACTGTTGACAAAATAGACTAATGTATTTTCTAAAAAAAAATATTTCCATACTTCAACTAAAAGTCGATTTAGTCGAAGTATGGAAACAACTTTTTTTTTAAAATAAATTGTAATAAAAATAACAAAGTAATTTTTATTTGCTTTCTATTTTTAATATCATATCATTTAAATAATGGAGGAGAGAAGGGCCACCCCAACAACAAGAAAATCTACTCCCAGACCCTAATGATATAGGGACTAGGGTGGAGCGATTTTTAAAATTTTCGAAATTTGATTAGCCTGAGCTGCGAATCGATGTCTTTTGGTGAAAAAAGAGCCTTACTTTTTTTTTTTTTTTCTTAATATAAATGAGTTTTAGAGGTTCCTCTTTGGATTCTAAATTTATGACGGATCCTAATATTGTTGAATTTTTTTTTCTTCTAAACTATATTAACCTGGTACTCAAAAGAAGCAGAAAGCAAATTAACTTAAAACAAAGCATGTTTTAAGTTAATTTGATTTAATTTAAAACTAAATAAAAAAAAATAATGTAGTTTTTTTCATTAAAAAACCCCCGTCTTCATCAAAACGGGGGTTTTAAGGTATATTTTTGCAAATATTTTTTTCACTAAAATTTTTTTTTTAATAAAATTATTATTGATAAAACAAGCATTTTTTTCTGCTTTTTTTGAGTCCAAGGTTGATATAGTTTAGAAAAAAAAAAAATTCAAAAATATTAGGATCCGTCAAGGATTTAGAATCCAAAGAGGAACCTCAAGATCTTATCAAAACCAAAAAATATTTTTTTACTTTCATCTTATAATTAATAGACATCGATTCGTGTCTCAGGAATATTGATTTTTAAACTTTTTTTTTTTTGCTATGAAAATCGCTCCACCCTAATAGGGACCTTTATACTTAAATACTTGCTGTATATCAAAAAAGTCATTTCAATCATATTTACAATGTGATTATATAGATTAATTATATTTATATTTTGGAGCTTCACAACATTTTAGGTATAAATAATGCTAACATGGTATGAATTAGGTAAGAATTTAGGAGAGTAAACAAAAAACTAGGTAAGGGGTTGTCCATAAATTATTTCTGCTTTGGGAATGGGGGGAGGGGGAGAAGAGGGTAAGGGGAGGGGAAGAGGAGTTGTGGTTTTGACAGCTCATACGGAACTTGTTACTAAAAAGTTAAGATGTTGTGATGAGGGACGGGGGTTGGATTGGGTCTAAAACTGTCGAAAATTGTATGACATAATTTGTGGATGACACCTAATAGTTATAATATTACATTCTATTGTGACTAAAAGAACAAACAAAAATTAAAGATTTAAAAGTTTAACCGAATGAAAAGATATAAGAATTTTAAGATATTTTCTTAACTAAATCCACTTTTAGTCAATTAGTAGGAAGTCCTTATTCGATAAAATCAACTATTCGATTTTTCAAATTAGTCAATAAAGTCAACTAATTTCGACTAGTCAACTTTTAGTCAATTCAAAAAAGTCAAAGTCAATAACAACACCATTAAAAATCACACTACATATTTTAATAACAATCTAAACAACTCAAAATTTTGAAAAGTAATGAAGAAAATCATTAACATTAAGCCTTCGTCATATCAAATTTTAAAAAGACTCTTTACCGGACTTCATTAATTACTAACCATATTGTAATCTTCCTTCATTCTAATATAAGTTAACTCTCAAAAAGCGATGTATAACAGGCTCTATGCTAAAAATATGTGCCTTTACACACATCAGTATTAACAACCTAATCACTAAACCAATTAAAAAAACTTTTTTTTTAAATCAATGACTTTATTACTGATGTAATAAAGTCATTGATTTAAAAAAAAGTCTTGGAATTAGGAAAAAATGAGGTAGGCAAATTATTCCCAACCTCAAACTATTTGAGGTCTACATCAGGTTGGCAAAAATTATTTGATACAAAGGTCTGACCATAAAACAACTGATTTGTTTAAAAAAATCACTCTGTGATTTTTTTAAACAAATCAGTTGAAAACAAATCAATGGAAAAATTGAGAAGTATTTCTCTAAGATTCTTCGAACTTGCTCTGGCCAATGACAAGCGCATCTCAAAATAACTTTTTTTCTACATAAATAGTAAGCACTCTGTAATAAATCAGATCTTACCAATGTGAAGTTTCAGTGAAATCGTTAGCTATGACAAAATCATAATAGCCAACTCACTCAACAATCAATTTCAAGCAGTTTTTAACAAATTTGACAATGGCAAAACTCCAAGGTTGTGGTTCAAAGCAAATGTAACACTCTTATTTAGGGCTTCTAAAATTAATGCAGCAAATTAGTCTGATCTCTCTCACCTCAACCCTGAGTGAAATAATGAAGAAGCTTGTTAAAAAATTATATCTAAATTCAAACAAACTTCTTTCGAAATGTCAGCATAGCTTTGCGAAGAAAAAATCATGTACCACCTGCTTGGAACAATTGACTTTTTGACTACATATATGGTCAGAAAATTACCATTTGACAATTTGCATTGACTTCAAAATATCTGGAGAGTGATCTGTTTTGCCTACCGCCCCATTATTCTTATACTATCATAAGCAAGGTTTTAAAGTCTTTAATAAACAAACACTTAATCTCTCACCTTGAATCTAATAATTTACTTTCTGATAATTAATACAGATTTCGATTGTCTCATTCTACTAGGTTTTATTGTGCATTAGATGGATGTGGAGAGACTAAGGCTATTACTCTTGATATTTATAAAGTTTTTGATAAAGTTTGGCATGCTAGTCCATAAGCTTTCTTCTTACGATGTATCAGGAAACATCTTTAAGACTATTGAATCCTTTCTTACCAATCATAGTATTAAAGTTGTCTTCGATGGACAGTACTCTTCTTCATATCACTACAGGGGTTCCTCAAGGTTCTATCCTTCGCCCTATACTCTTTTTAATTTACATTAATGATCATCCAGATATTCTCACATCTAAGGTGGCATTGTTCGCTGATGATACTATTATTTATTCTAATCATGATAAGCCAACACTCTCTGATTGCTTGGAGGTAGGATTTAAGCTTGAAAAGTATCTCACTTCTGCAACAGCATGGAGCTCACACTGGCTGGTGAACTTTAATTCAGATAAAACCCAATTTTTTTCAGACAATTGTTATCGCAATAATTTAGATCCTCCTATATTATAAACGGTAATGTACTCGATGAGTCATCTACCCTTCATCTTCTAGGAATAACTCTTACTTTCGATCTTTCTTGGAAACCATATATCAAATGCTTTGCAAAATTAGCATCTGCTAAAGTGGCATCTCTTTATCGAGCTCAACACTTTCTTACTTCAGATTTTATTCTTTATCTCTATAAGTCTAAAATCCGTCCTTGTATGGAATACTGTTACCATATCTGGGGCGGATCTTCTAATGATGCCCTTTCTTTTTTAGACAAGGTGCAAAAGCGCATTATAAACATAGTTGGACCTGATCTTGCAGCCAACCTCAGCCAAAAATATATGTATATATATTTATTTTTTATATATGTATATATTTTATATATGTGTGTATATATATATATATATATATATATATATATATATATATATATATATATATATATATATATATATATATATATATATATATATACATATAAACATACATACATATAGAGAGCCTATATACTTAGAGAGCAGACATACAGAAAACGGTGGCCATGCTTTTGCCAAACATGAACTTGAGCAAAAAAAATTATAAAAATTAATAATATTTTAAACAAAAATTTATTTTTGAAAACTGAGACATTTTATTTGGCAAATGAATAAATACAAAGAAAACAGCAAAAAAATACTTGTAATTTATATGTAACTGAACAAGGGTTTATACTTGACAAAAGTCTTTCAATTTAATTTAAATTAGTCCCTTGGTTAAACCTAATCTTTCATTGCCAATGCATTATCATACTCTTACTGCTAAGTGTACAAAAAATTAATAAAAGATCTCTACATTGCCCAGTTGACACCCTTATCAGAAGTAACACTATTAATATTTAATCCTATATCTACAGCATGTTTTATTATAGTTAGGATAATATTTTTTAAAACATCACCATTAACAGAACTTGCAGTATATTAGTATGCTACAGTTTGTTTCTATCTTGAAGATATTTCTCCAGGCATAAAAACTAAAGCATGGTTAGCTTGGCCATAATGTTCAGGTAATGTGATAACTCCATAGTAAGAGTCAACACTTTCGGTTTGACATTTCATAAAAAATTAAAGCACATTCTTTTTAATGAATTTTCATGACATCAACTTCAGTTTTCATAAACTCAAAGACTTCTGTTAAAATACCACATTGGAACTTTAGATTTTCTAATCTTCATTGTAGGGTACAAAGTGATGTGTATGGTAAATTTACTGAAGTAAGTTTTCACAACCACTTTGACCACATGTAAATTTGAGTTCCAATGCTTCATTTATAGTATCATTCGACCATTTAATAAACTTCATATTTTTTTCTACTTAAGGGTAATATTTGATTTTCTTTAAATATTGTTTCAACAACTACTCTAAACTTATCTCTTCTTTTATGATTATACTTTTAAATAGCATTTATTCTTACTTTAGTTTTTAAAACGTTTATCTTTTCCTTTTGAATAATGACTTTTTATTCATTTTTCATTAAAAATCTTGTATAAGTAAATTTTTAACAACCCAGCAAAGTAATTCAGATACTCCATTGTTATTTACTTTAATTAAAATATTTCTCACAACTTCCTCACTTTCTATACAGCTTTTTTTTTTTTTGGTATTGGAAATCGCCTAATTGGATTTTTTAGTTTATGTTTTGGTGTAACATGATTTTTTCCAAGGATCAGCTTCAAAGTGTACCTTAATAAAATAACTTATCCACAATTATGTGTATTTAAGGCTTCTTCTATAAATCATATCTAGAATGAATTACATAGAGTTATATTTTTTTATGCTTACTTTACATAAAAAGCTTGTGTTAGTAGGTGTCCAGTACAATCACTTAACTTTAGAAGCCTAAATAACCACTATTTTTGATTTTTTGAGAAACATTTCATTAGAAATTTTTTCTCAGACCAGTTATGGTAACCTACTAGAGTACAAACAGGCATATCTTTACAAATATTTAACAAAAATTAGTAACAGCCTTCCTTCACAGTTTTTTGTTGTTGGCAAAAGCATGGCGACTAAAACCATAAAAATCAAACATTCAATCAAAAATGATGGCACTTATGTCTACTCTCTGAGTATAAAGACTCTATACATACCTACATAAATATTAAATTACTAGATGTAATAAACTGTGACTGTGTCACATTGTGCTGTTTTATATACCTGATAAATGCACTTCTCTGTTTCCCTCAATGGAAAAAGTCACCTTTTCTCCTACTGTGAAATTCAAATTTAAAGATTGCTGATAGCAATGGCCAGATTTAAGTGTACATAAAATAAATATTTTAGCATTTTGCTCTAGACAAACAGACACAGGTTCTTCAGAATCAGAATCAATTCCTACAATTTAAAATGTAAAACTATATAAAATAATTAACAACCATTAAATAACCTTAACATATATTTAATAACAGTAACATACATTACCTAGAGTAGCCATGGAAACATGAAAGGAATGCTCAACAACCTGTGTGTACTGTTTACCAGCTTCCAATATAATCCCTAGATATGTGTGTGTGTATATATATATATATATATATATATATATATATATATATATATATATATATATATATATATATATATATATATATATATGCTCACAGCAAAACTATAACTAAATAAATAGATGATGAAAATAACTAAATAATTGAGCACAAAGGAACAGTAACTGTAAAAGTATGTAACTTTGCTGAAGTCAAGTAAGATTGAGTTTTAGATGATGGAATAAATAATGACCGCTCACTTGAGCAGCAACCTTAGTAGTGTTTGTAGAAAAGAGAAAGAGATTCGACCATCTGATGACTTTTGAACCTTATCTAAAAGAAATAGCATCTTATTAGAAGTACCACCCCAAATATGACAACAGCATTCTATACAAGAAAAATGTATATATGGTTTCCATGAAAGGTCAATAGCAAAATGTAATCGAAGAAGATATAAAGTAATAGTCAACAATATTGCAATATTTATTAGTGGAATCAACTGAACTTTGTTTGGGTTAAATTTATTACTTACTAATTTGTTGAATTCTAATGTGCATATTATTAGTTTATTTTGAAATTTTTACTAAAATAATAAATTGACACTGAAGTAAAATTAAACTATTGAACTCTTCAAAAAATAAACTATAAACTAAACTATAAAATGGCTTTAGTTTCAGAATCAACCTAGAGCACAAGCTTAATGGAAAAAAAAAAAGGACCAAGTTATATAAACAAAAAAGCAAAAACTGACAAAGTTATAACAATTTACATTAAGGATATAAATTATGTTGATATAAGCAACAACAATAATTACAACAAATTAACAACACTTGTCACAATTTATGATTAATAAAAGACAAATAATAAACTTTACTTAAAACACAATAAAACTATTTGTTTCATAAAAACCAAAGATTATGCAAGACGATTGTCAAAATAATAAAATTTACCCCAAAACATTATTATTTAAGTTGATGTAGCCAAACTATGCAAAAATAAGAACCAGAATTAGGCGATTGCATTATGTTATTGAAGACCAAGTAGTTATACTATTATTAAAAAATTCGGATATTTTATCTCTGCGGACTATAACGCGGACACCATAAGTGCGAATTTCATTAGCGTTCAGTTCAAATCAGTCAAAACAATCAGTGCGAACTGGCCATAATTACTAGGGGTGCTCCAATGCTTTAGCATCGGTCTTGGTAATCATTGGCCAAAGCTGGTTGTTTTAAGAACATCAGTTTTTTTGTTTTGTGTTTCTATACTTTATGCGAACTTTTAAGTATTCCATAAACGAAAATGCATGTATAAGCCTAAGTCATAATATAGGCCTCTCAGTAACCTCTTAACTTTTCGAAATATTTTTTGAACTGTTCCTTTTATCAAAAGCTCCCCACTTTTTTAGTATCTTTTTATAATTCAAAACAGCAACTATATGACTTATGGATCCTAACTATACAAAAAGAGAAATTTAAAATCAGGAAATGAAAATTTTAGAAATTTTCAGATATTTTTAAAATTTTCGACAGATATATTCCTCTTGATATATTTTGCAAACTTACAAATTACCTTTGAGCAATTATTTTCATCAATATCAAATTAGTTCCAGACTGGATTTTTAGCTGCTTTGCTCATTGTTGATTTATTTTTTATCTAATTTTATTTCTAAATTTAAGTTCTAAAATATGGTTAAATATATATTTACTTATTATAAAAAATAAAAAGAGTTTAAATTCAAATTTAAGCCCGGTGCCGATGCATCGGTCTCGGGCTTTACCCATCGGCATCGGACAAAAGTAGGCATTGATGTTTAATTACGCAAAAATAATAAAAAACCCTGGCATAGGTACCACCTGACTTAGGTTCATCAAAAGAATTTTCAACTTCACAAAGTGCAAATTGACATAAGTGCTTTAAACGTTTTAAATTTTATTTTGTTACGAATGAATACAGTACAATCTCTCTAATTCGAATTTTATGAAGAAAAAATGTTCGAATTAGAGAAATTTTCGAATTATCGAAAGATGACTTTTTTTCAAATATTCTCGTCAAAATAACGAATAGAAATTACACATACAAACAAATAATAATTCATTCGCCTAAATGCAATATATATTATGTATTTTAAATTTTTAAATTTTCAAAAAAAGTCTTTTATGAGCTGGTAAATCCATATCATTGACACAATTTACATCTTTAAGAGCTTGTCAAACTATCTCCAAAGATAGAATAAAGTACAGTGATAGCATGCATTGCTTCTTTCAAACTTGGTTTTGTAGCATTGTCAGAAACATCAACACGCTCATCATAGGATTCTCTTCAGTTTCAATAGCATCATGTCCAGAAACTTCTGCAATGATGTCCTCATCTGATGATTTGTTAGCAATGCAAACATTGAAATATATGTCTACTAACTCGTTGGCCGTGAGGTTAATACTTGTATCAAATTTTGGTTTTAACAATTCAAGATCATCTTTTAAGTTTTCCATTACAGCCTCCTCTGTATCTAAATCACAGAAAGGATTGTTATTAACGATTATATGTTTTTCTACTGCTTCTAATAATAATCCTGATTTCTTGAAACAATTTAAAAAAGTCTGATCTGAAATGGAACTCTATGCTTTTGTTAGCATAAACATAGCAGTTAAAATAGAAAACTTTAGTGTCTTTTTCTCTTTTTCCAAGACAGCAATATGCTTTTTCACTGCAAGTGAGCAATATTTTGCTTTAGTAGATCGGATAATTCCTAGATCCATAGGTTGGATGATCAAGGTTGTATTTAATGGAAGAAAGATAAGCTTTACCCAATCAAGTCTGTGCACGATAGGATGGGCAGAACAATTATCTATAAATAAAATAATTTTTCTTTTCTGACAACAAAACTTTTGGTCAATATCTTTAACCCACTTCTCGAATAATTCTGCCAACATCCAACTTTTTAATTGGGCCCGACAACAACAAGGAATATTTTTTATACCTCTGAAGCATTCAGGAGACTTCAATTTTTCAATTACAAACATTGAAAGTCTTTCTCCTTTAAAATAACCTTTTTTTCAAGTAGGTGTTGAGAGAGAATTGTAGGGAGTGCGGTTTCAAGCCATGGAGCGATCATTTGCTCATTAACCGACTTTTCCTCTCCAGATTTTGGTTTTGAAAGATATACCATACCCACAAAAAAAATTTATAATTGGTTAGACATAAATTATACATATGCTTAAATGTAACTTTGACGTCTTTGCAAGTTTCTAGAAATTCCGGTTCTGGAAAATTTTATTTTCTTAAAAAACTAATGAAAAAAGCTGTAAAATAATCATATATTGTCATTAATCGTAAAAATTGGATAAAATAAAATAAGAAGTTAATTCACCTTTTCTTAAATTTGTCTACCCATCCGTCCGAAGCTTGAAAATTTTCAAAGCTTAACTCTTTTGCAAAATATAAAGCTTTTTCTTTTACCAGTAAACCACTTATTGGGACATTATTAGCTCTCATTCGTTTGGACCATTTAAGTACAGCTTTGTTAACTTGGTAATACGTATCAACTTTCACTCGTTTAGCCAAACTTTTTTGACAAAAAGCGTCAAAATTTTTGTCTTTATTCATTTTCCAGGTTGAAAGGGTGTTTGGTGGAATATCAAAAAATTTCGAAACCTCTTTGTTTGTCTTTCCTTTCTCTAATTCCAATAGAGCTTTGTATTTCCGCTTTAAGTTGTTTTCTCTATACAGTCTTTTTGGTACCATGATTTTTTTTAAAAAGAAAAATAATTCACATTAACTGTTTTTCAAAAAGTCAAAACATTTGAAATTTGAAAAAAGAATTCGACGGTTTAACAAACTTTTTACAAGTCAGAAAATAAAAAAGTTCAATTTACAGAGAAAATTTTACTGATTGGTCTAAAAAATCCATTCGAAAAGTGGAGGTTTTTGGAGAAGTTTTTCAAATTATAGAGAGTTAAAGGTAGGAGTTTCTTAAGTGCATTTCACGGCGACTTTGCATTTAATCGAATTATAGAGGCTTTCAAATTAATGAGATTCGAATTAGAGAGGTTGTACTGTATTAAAACAGCTTCTAACTAATAAAATCCTGCAATAAGGAATCGGCTCAAGACTATGAACTTTCTAACCTATAACGTTTCTCATAAGCATCCTGTAGAAGTGCTTTTTCTTGACTTAACCAAAGCTTTCGACGAAGTCCTTCACAGAAGACTATTGCAATACCGGAAACCTACGGAATCGAAGGTAAAATCAACTAGACTAAAGCTTTTCTTACAATCAGATCAAAACACGTTCTTCTTGATAAGACCTCATCTAACTGGGAAAAGTTACCAGTAGCATTGTGCAAAATTTAGTACAAGGTCCTACGCTGTTCATAATCTTCATCAACGACCCGAATGCATCGGTGAAAACATCTGTTAAATATGCGCATACGACACTAAAATTCTGAGCGTCGACAAAACCGCTACAAACTGATACGGATAATATCGTAATCTAGACTCGAACCTGGTTGACGGTGCTCAATGTTAAAAAAGTTTTTGCACATCAACAAATACGTTTCGCCGCACGTTTACTCAATGAATGAGCATAACGCTAACAGTAAAACCAGCAAAACATAGCTCGAGTCAACAAAATCCAAAAAAGACTTTAAATTCTCGTGCTTTAAATAATTTAAAGCACAAGAATCAAATCAAAATTTCCGCTGCCAAAGCCAATAATATTTTTGAAATCTTAAAACACAATTTCATCAGCAGAAACACTAAAATATAAAAAAGATTTACACCACTTTCCCACAACTTCAACTCGTAGTTACCACCTGGTACCCGTACCTTGAAAAAGACGTAAATACCATAAAACACCTCCAGCATTGAACTACCAAAGTACCGCACAAAATTAAGCGCTTTGACTACGAGACGAGATGCGTCAAACTCGGACTCATCTCTCTATTCCATAGACATTATCGGAGCAAACTTATTTAAAAATGGACAACAGCTGCCTTGTTTGCTTTAACTTTTTTAACAACTGCGTTGCTCAATTATGTAACGTACTACCAAACAAAGTTGTTAGTGCTATTATTATCAACTTTTTCAAAGCAAAACTCGATCAGCTATCACCATAACTACCACAGCGCATAAGCTTGCGTGGCAAGCTGTTGATGGGTTTACGAATTTTGCGTAACTTAACTAACTAACTAAAATACAAAAGCACAACCTTCTCATTTAAAACCCAATAGTATATTTGCGTACGTTTTCAAGCTAGTGTCGCTACATCTCAGCCGTTTTATTTACTTTACCTTTAAATGATCGTTGTAGTCAGGGCTGATTTTAGTACTTCTTGGTCTTCTAGCATTTTAGGCCTTCTGACCCCTGTTGGTCTCTCAGTATTTAAATTTAACAGCAGTTTATTCTAACAAAAATACTTTAGTTGTTACAATAGGCTTTAAAACATTTTTTTGTATTTAAAAACGCATCGCACGTTATTTATTGAACAAAAACACGCTTGTTAAATGTTGGCCTTTGCTATAAAACTCTTAGTATAAGTTTTAAAACACATTTCATTGGTGTTATAAACCTTTCTATTTTTAGTATTGGATCTAATATACTTATGATGATGATAAAACTTGTAACATTTGCAATTTTATTGGGTAAAGGTGGGGCGCAGAACATGTGGGACATCCCAAAAATTACAATTAGGAGAGGTTCCTAATCACTGTTAACTAATGTAAACAATGTGATTTTTTCCGTACTATTGAGCAAAAATTGCTTTTTTTTCCCTGCGTGTGGTAATCATTCTATTTTCGAAAAAACACCCTTAAAAATATTTAAAAAAGTATTTTTTGAGGAACAAAGGAAATAGAATAATAATTTTTAATATTATGTTGTTAACTAATTGGTCGTCTAACACTTACCCACCTAGATGACACAGTTCCTCACAAAAAATCACAAAAATATATAGTATATTATAATTTTCTGTCAATTTTCATGGATGATTTTGCTCAAAATGATGTTTTTATTTGTTAAAATTTGTTTCGTTCAGTTCATATATTAAATAAAGCGGATTAAGATATAAGATTATCCTAGAATTATCCTTTAATGTCCCGCTACTCCCTA